TCCTAAACTTGGCCCAAGTCCCCGCTGCCCTGCGCCTTAGAGTACTATCTATAAGTTTAATGTATAAGGTAGAATTTTCTTGTTTTCCCTCCCTCCCTCCCTCCTTCCTTCCCCGTTTTTTTCTTGCTTTTTATTATTTTTATCTTTCTGAATTGTTTAGTTAGGTTTGTTATTATTGTATGTATCTTGGTACTTTGCTTATATTCTGTACTTTTTAAAAATAAAGAATACAAACAAAACAAAAGAAGCACCCCAAAAAGCAAGAGTCCATCCCCGACGCAGTGGCTCTTGATTGCTCAAGGTTGGGCCTTTGCTTCTCCAAGTAATGGGACAGTAGGTGTTATAAAGACTATGAGAAAAAACTCGGTATGTGGTCAGAGGCACTCTTATGATTCATAGGTTTCAGGGTAGAACTGTACTATTTAGGAGCCAAAAATAAGGGGGAGGGAGTATCTATTACAAACTTGTACTGTAAGCATTCAGCTCACAATAATGCAACATCATTTCATATGTATGCCAGGGGTTACAATGGAAAAGTATTATTTCAGTTCTAGAATTCCCCAAATGGCATCATGGGGTGTATTCCTTTTTTGTGTGTGTGTGCTTTATTTAACATATTGCCCAGTGACTTCAAGACACATTATTTTTCTCCTCTTAATATAAAATAAATCAATTTTTTTTTCATAGATTCAAATAAAGTGCATGTTTTGACTTTAATAGACCAATGTAGCTGCAAAGATTTCAAAAGTGGGTTCTTTTGTTTTAAATGTTTATTTTTCTGATCTTTTTCACTGTCATTTCATGTATATTCTGCTCCATAGTCATTTATCTTGCATGTTTGCATTGGGTAGGCAACAGTTACATGTCTTGACTGTTCTTGCCCATAGAAGAACACTACTTATTTAGCCAATGCAGTGTGTGAACCAGATGCAACACTACAAATATTCACCATATTGTAAAGTGAATGGCAAGTTTAGGCAAGATTATTTTACATTTCAGTGAAACAGTGTTCAGAATATTTAAAACAGTGGCTGTAAAATTGGGTCATTGAGAAAGAGGGAGAGGAAGAAGAGAGGTGTTTCAAAGTAGATGCTGCCATGAGTTGGCATAAAATTGGCAGCATACAAATTTGATAAATACATAGATTTGGAGATGGCTACTAAGACTTCTAGGGACTGCATGGAGAACTAGTCAGTCCTTGATCAAATATATCCTCCTCCTTTGAGGTGATGATCAGGAAGTAGAAATTCATGTGTGTGATATGAGTGAAGGATGAACTAGAAAAAGTGATTGTGCTTAGCGAGGTTGAAGGAAGTAGAAGAAAGGAAAGACAAAGGGGATGGGATCAAAAGGATCAAAGACATTACTGGAATGTCCGTGGAAGAGTTTATGATAAAGATGGTCCAGATTGTGAACATTAGGTCACTGGGGCCTAACTACCTATCTTAATTGAACTGAACTCTGCAAAGTTTATTACTAAGTAGACATGTTAAGAATTTTGCTTTAGTATCTCACAGGATGTAAACAATAGACTTTATTTCTGTATGATTGCTAGTGAATTCTATGTGAGAATCACCTTAAGTGTTTCACTTAATCATTCTAATTAAGTGTGCTTTAAAGTCAGTGTTGACTCTCAGCAACCACATATATAAACCTCCAGGATGTTTGATCCCCAACCTGGCACCCATCACAGTTGTAATTGAGTCCAACCACCTCACTGCTGGTTGTCCTCTTCTCTTTCTTTCCACCTTTCCCAACATTAAAGTCTTCTCAAGAGAACTAGATCTTCACATAATGTGTCCAAAATATCATAATTTGAGTATGGTCATTTGTGCCTTGAGTGAGATCAAACCTGGACTGATTTGCTCTGTAATCCATTTGTTTGTTTTCTTGGCTTCTCCAACACATTCATTGCTATCCTACCTACCTTTGCTATCATTGCTATCCTATCCTACCAAGTGCTGGTCTGTGGCATAGTCTTGCCTGTTGGTACCTTTACTGGTGATAATCAAAACTAAAAGGCAGACGCTATCCACTTCTTCAGTATCTTCACTGTTAGTTCAAGGCTGTTTGCTGTATCTGTTGTCATTAGTTTATATTCCTCTTTATATTTAATGTTTATCACATTTTTATGTGTTTCTTGATTTTCATTACTAAATCTTGCAGATCATTTTCATTTTCAGCTATCAGAGTAGTGCCATTAGCACAGTGCATGTGATCAATGTTTTTTCCTCCAATTTTAAAATCACACTCCTCTTCTTCCAACCTAGCTTCCCTCACTATATATTCAGCATACAGGTTGTACAACTAAGAGGAGAATATATATAATCTTGTCTCAGTCTTTCATTGATCTGAAACCAATCTGTTTCACCATGTTCTCTCTGGACTCTGGTTTCTTGTGTTCACATGAAGTTCACATGAAGTTCACATGAAGTTCACATGTTCACATGAAGTTCATATGAACATAGTTCACATGAAGACAATGAGATATTCTGGGATTACCATATTCCTAAGGGCATTCTATAGTTGACATGGTCAACACAATCAAAGGCCTATCTATAATCAATGAAGCACATATTAACTTCTTTTTGGTATTCTTTGACTTTCTGAATTATCCAGTGTCCATCAAAAATAATGCCTCTTGTTCCTCAGCTTTTTCCAAAACCATCCTCAGAATCTGGCATCTCCTTTTCTATGTAGGGCTTTAATCTTCATTGGGTGAACCTTAAGTATTATTTTACTATCATGTGACATTAAGGATATTGTGCAATACTTTGCATACTCTGTTAAGTCTTCCTTGACATTGCTATATAGATTGACCTCTTCCAATCGATTGGCCACTGTCTCTTTCTCCAGATTTGCTAGCATAGTTTATTAGAACCTTTTACTGATACTTTTTCTGCTGCTTGCCATATTTCTATAGATATTCTATCAATTTCTGTAGCCTTCTGGTTTGGTAATGACTGGATTGCTAATCTAAATTTCATCTTCTAATATTAGAGGTTCTTGTAAATAAGGAACATCTTCTAAGATATCTTGGATTTTGACATTTCTATTGCACAGAATTTCATTGTGCTCCTTCCATCTTCATTTGATCTTGGAATCAGTTACTATCTGTCACTTTAAGTAAATAGCGCACTTTATCCCTTTCTTGCTTGCTTCACCAGGAAAGAAGGAAAAACAAGCAGCTTCTTTTTTTTTTCTTGAAATGCCCAATGAGTATTAGAAAGAAAGGGATTGCATGCACTGGTGATGTATGAGCTCATTTTGTGGCAGTTCCTACAATTACACTAAATTGTGTTCTCAGTTATCGTTCTGGATATTTCTTCCTCTTTGAAGCTTTTGGCACTTGTTCCCAAATTCTTCCTTTACAAATAAGATAAACAGTTTTCTTTAAAAAAAATATGAACACCCTTACTTGACTTGTATGTTGTATAAGGGTGAAAAGTAGACAAGTCAGCACTAGTCAAAAGCTAAACAATGGGGAACTACACTGAAAATGGTAAAGTTCATTCATTTATCTTTTGATCCATAAGTAGAGGATGTTCCTGTTTAATCTGCAAGACACAGACCTCTGTATTTCATATACAAAAACAGCTATCTTCCCTAAACATAAAAAGGATTCTTCATATTTCTCAGCTGGTAAAAGTTTAGGGTTACATTTTGTTTTTGTAGGAAGGATTTCCCTAACAGAAACTGGTCATAAGCCAGTTGTACAGCTTAGGCAGTTGCTGAGTCATAATTTCTTCAATCAAAACAAAACAAAACAAAAAACAAATAAAAAACAAAGCACCCTTCTCTTTGGAAATCATGGTAATTCATGTTATTGCACAGATAAGTGTATCTCTGACCAACTCACAACTGATATATCAGTGGAGGTGCTGGGACCCCGTCCGTTTTAATCATGAATTATACTCTGTTCAGGCTGAGTTGGACAAAACATTTTCTCAGTGTACCAATTGCAGAGGGGATGTGCTGAGTAGCCTTACAGGATCTTAAGCTTATTAGTTTGGTCCTGTATATGAAGCACTTTCAAGATCCTCCACTGTACTGTGTCTCCACGTGTGTGCACAAACACTCCACTCACCCTGGAGAACCTTGAAGCTCTGGTATACCTATCGTAGCCACCTAGTGCCCTCCATGCCCTCTGCCTACTCTGCTTTTAAAATTTGTTAAAGATCATGTAACGAAAGTTGGCATGCTGCAAAGCAAAGCTTTACTTTCCAGAACATGTTTACTTGCAAAATAGAGCTCCCGTGTTCCACAGAAGGTCTCGCAGGCATTCCTAGGAACAAACCAACCAACCCCCAAAATAAAACAAAACAAAATAAAAATGGTCTGTGGCAGCAGCCTGGTGCTTTATAAATTTGCCCACCTGCTGAGAGAAAGACAAAAGCAAACAGGGACTTATCAGTGAGTGTGTCTGGATGCTAGAGTATTTGGCAGGGAGCTATTTCACAAATTGGTGTTTCATGACAATCCCCAGTAGAAGAGGATATTGGTAGCTCAGGGTTGAACTGTGGAGTCCTTGGTGCTCTCTGAGCTTGGTTGTTTTCTTGCAGACGTTTCATTACCCAATTAGGTAACATCATCAGTGCTGACTAGTCAGGTAATGAAACATCTGCTAGAAAACAACCAAGCTCAGAGATCACCAAGGACTCCACAGACTACCCCCACTTGGGCAGTTTGTGAATGGGAAGTTCCACTCCTCTGTGGTAACCCACTACCTGCTTTCAAGATGCTAAAGGTTTGAGGGCCCTAAGTTATTACGCACTTCAGTATAGAAAAGCGCTCCTGGTTTCTAGAGATTAGACCATCAGCCTGCAGACAAGGATTGCCTTTTTTTCATTAATTATCAACATTAAGTATCAACTGCTTTGGGATT